CTGGATTTTCCTTCAGCTCACCCTCTGCACAGACCCACCCCTCATGAATCCATATGTATTTATCGTGTGCTCTGCATAGCTGATATTTACAGCAGCTGATTGTCTCCTCTGGTTGATTTGCAGGTGCCTGGCCTGTTGGAAATGGTGTGTCAGGACCTGCATGGCACGTCCTCCTCCCCGAACAGGAGGGCAAGGGCTCCGAAAAACCAGCGCGCTGAAATTACAAACCGAAACACCAACTATTTTGGGATCCACATCGAAATGGCAACATATGCTACACGTTAAACATCAGCCCCTACCAAAAGCAGAGCTATTTCTGGGCCCCTCCTGAAGGGCGCTGAAGATGCAGGAAGAGCAGATGCCTCCCTACCTCCTCCTGGAAGCTCCCTTGCAGGTCCATCTGCAGGTAACAAAGTGCTGGGCAGGAAGATGCCGCTAGCTGGGTGTTTCATAAGGTCCCTGGGAACCTTAAGCAATACTTTGAGGGGAGAGGGCTCTTCCTTGCTGGCATTTGGCCTTTGCCTGGCTTTCTGCGAGGGTTTGTTTGTGTCTGCGCCGTAATCGAGTGTGGGTTGTATTCCACCACAGCGATTTCGTTCGCAGCTAGTAATTGCTGGTTAAATCTGGTCAAATGATGGTTGTTAACAGGGCCTGTTTGAGCACAGATAACCTCAGATATTATTCATGCAGAGGAGCAGCGGGGGCCGGGGTGCGCTGGGATATCGGCACTGCTGGGGAGCCGTAATCGGCACAGCCTGGAATAAGCTTCTTAGGATTATTTAGCCAAGTTTCCGAGTTATCATTATTATTATTGCTTTGCTTAGCAAATGCAAAGCATGTTTAACCAGGTAGGGTCTGCAATCCTCTCGATGGGCTCAGCCAAGCCTCCCCAGCAATCCAGGGCAGGGATCTTTCAGGGGAAGCAGCCTGCTTGCCAGTAGCTGTGCGTCAGCCAGGAGACAGTGCCCTGAGCGAGCCAAGGAGCCAGGCACATGTTGCTTTTCAATTAACCCCCTTCCCATGCACACAGCCATGCTGGAGCTAAGCTCATTTGAGGAAGTAAAAAATATGTTTCATACCTCCCAGCCAGGGGGAGTGAAGGCAACGTACGTACCGAGTCACCCCAGAGTGTTGGCAGAGTTTTGGTGTCCCCTGACAGCGCTGATGTCCCCCATTCCTGCCCCTGCAGGCTGTGGGTACTTGCTGTGGCTTAATGCAGGTTTAAAAATGGTTGGGGAAAAGCAAAATGCAAGCCAAGGCCGTGCAGGCTGGTGCTGCCCTGTGTCACCTCCCTGGGGGACTGACAGAGCTCCCTGCTCCCGGCCTGCAGTGAGTCCCTCCAAGTTCAAGGATGAGTGAGTTTCAGAGGTAGATTCTCCAGGTGGAGGCTTTAATTTGGCATCGTCTCTTTGTGCTCTCTCCAGGCTCTTTTCCAGCAGCACCTGCAGAGCAGGGGAGTTCTGTGAGATCCTCTGGGTTTGAGTTGACAAAGTATTAAATAAAGAACTGGCTGGTCAGTCACTGAATCTCTGGTAAGAGATGGGATGTGCTGTCCTGCTGCTGTACTTGTCATTTGGAAAGGAATTGATCAAACTGGAATCAGCCCCTGTTTTTATTGATTTAAACCTGGAACAGCAGAATTTGATGCTTAAGTGTTTGAAAGAGTATTGGTTGAAGTGTGTCCTGGGGACAGCCTGTGTTTTTGGATGCATGTTTAATCGGTGTGCTGCTGTTTTGTGGGCTGTAGGAATATTCCTAATATTCCTCCTGTTTGCAGGGCAGCTCCCTGCTCACAGGAGGAAGCCAGGCTGTGGCTGTTCCAGGTCAGGATGCTTTTCTGAACCTGGGCTGGAGCTGGAGTGATGGTTCCTGCCTTCCAAGTGCAGTGTCACCTGTGCTGAGCTCAGGATCTTTTTCCAGCTTTCAGGCATCACTGGGAGGAAACACAGCTTTTGGCAGGGACAATGTGCTCTTCTCCATCATCCTGCTTTGATGGTGCCTCTCTGATCACCACCTCCACCTTCCCTGGAGGATGTCCCCCCTTCCTGCAGGGATGGGTATCCCTCAGCTTTGCTCCCTGACAGGCAGAGCTGTGGGTCCTGCTGCAGAAATTGGCACTGCAATGTTTAAAGTCTCTCTCTTCCCTCCTGGGGGGATCCACATCCTCCTTTTCAGGGCAGCAAAGGCCACGTGCGTGGGCACTGCAGCAGCTCAGAACTGCCCTGGCAGAGCTGGGGATCAAATCAAGTCACATTCCAGGGCATTAGACAGACGGTGGGAATTAAAAGCTTTACCTGGAAACTGGCTTTGTATCTCCAAGCCCTGCTTTTGTCTCCCAGCCCAACTCTCTATTTTTGTCCCTTTTACCTTCCGTGTTGTCACGTGTGGCAGTACATGGTGATGGCTGTGAAGCCACCCCCCGATCACATTTGGGGAGCCTTTGGAAAATATGGGGCTGTGCTGCCCAGGAGTAAACACTCAGGCAGTATGAGAAGGTAAAAAAGAGTAGTTTACCAAAACCAAGCTGCCTTGGGACTCATTAAAAGCTAAGGAAAGGCTCCAGCTGCTTTCAGGAGGCTTGGGATCAGTCAGGAACTAGGAAGTCCCATCTGGGCTATTAGCAGTAAATCTTGGGTTTGTTTCCATCAGTCTATAAGGCTGAGAACAGGGTCTCCCTTGGGGGCCACTCCGGCCCTGATTCAGGGAGCTCTGTCTGCTTCAGTTCTGCCTTTGCTTTGCCCTTCATCTGGTCCCCTTGTTGCTCTTCTGCATCCCTGGGTGAGCTGAGCACCTCTCCGTGCCGCTGGGCAACCTGGTCCTGGCTGTGGGCTGTCAATGCAGGATGAGGAAGAGCTCAGAGATTCACTTTAATTCCCAGAGGCTTGATGTCTCTGACCTATAAACCAATCCTTGACTATAAGGGTCTTGTGCTCTTTGAGGAAAACATTTGAAATGATGACGCTTTTGTAATGGTAATAACGACATTAGGCCCGCGTAGGTAACTTAATTTTATTTATTTATTTATTTGCTCTTTTCTTAGTGGAAATTGCTGCTTTTTTTTTCTGGGCATCAGGCCCAATTTTTGCTTTGTTCTGAGTCCACACCACATCTGGATGCTGCGCCCAGGCTGCTCCAAAGCCAGCGGCACCTCTTTGTGCTTCCCATGAGATTCCCACCTATCATCAATCCACCTGCGGTATTTTCAGCCTTGACAAGCAAAGTAGGTGACATTTCCATCTGAATTAATGTCCTGGGAGTCTCTGGATGTGAGAAGGGGTCTCAGCTGTCTTGGGCTGGATCTGCTACACGGATCACCCCTGCACAACAGGCAGGAGCTACCTTGGAGTGAAAACATGGCAGGGAGAGGAAGGAGTGGTGAGCAGTCTCCTGCTTTCCCAGGTCATTAGAGCATCCATGTGCATCAGGGCTGGGTATAGAGCAATGACAAGTTTGGATGCTTCAGGAGGGAAACATTTGCTTCCCGGGGAGAGTAAATTAGGTTTGCCTAGTGTCAGCGTGTTATGAGTCAGGGACGTGCATTAACATTTACCAAAATCTGAACGAGAATTGAACTCTGCATTAGACAAAAAGGTTGGGTGTCATTTTCCTGGGATTTGGGGAAAATCCTCTGAAGAACAGAGCTTTGTTTTTAATAGACACCTGCATGCCAGCCTCCAGGAGACTGCAGCTCTGCGTGCATTGAGAAGGGATCTGTGTGCTGTCAGCTTACCTGGAGGTGCCAGCTGTGAGCAGCTGGGCATGGTTCTGGGTGACCAGAGCACAGTGTGTGTCCCAGCCTCATGCCAGACCTCCCACTCCTGAGCCAGCAGAGAGGCTGCACTTGGGAGCTGCCTCTCGAAAATATTTTAGAGACAGTTTTCTGGGCAGGATGAGTTACTGGGCAGCATTTTGCACCAAGTTCTCAGAGTGTTTCTCTTCTGACACTCCTTGCTCAAAAGTCCACTTCCAGTAGCTTGTGGAACCACAGATTTATTGATTTGAACACAGGAAGAGATTATAAAAACAGCAGTTTGAGACCAACTCCCTGAGCAAACCACAGCTCAGCATTTTCCAGGGAGCCTGCAGCAGGCTGCAAGGAGCCTGTCCCTGTCCTGGCCAGTGATGGGGCCCTGGCCCTGCCTGGGAAGGTTACTAGAGAGGTGATGAGCATGGCAACACCGGCAGGGAGCCCTGGCCCAGCCCTTCACTCGCTCCTCTGCGATGCTCTACCTGCTGCATCGCTCCACGCCACAGCCGCACGCTGGCAGGGCGAGGCTGTGCCTCCCGGACTGTGAGCAGGAGCCATGTGTTGCTTTAGTCCCTGGTGCTTCACTCCCAGCCCCAGGGGCTGGGGGCGGCTCACCCAGCCCCCCTGGCCGGTGCTGAGCTCTGGAGGGGGCGTTGCTGCGGGCTGGGGGCAGCTACGGCAGCAGGGCTGCGAGTCCGGGCTGCCCCTGCGGGCCGTGGGGAGGGGGCAGCGTGTGACCCCTGCCCCTGCTCGGGATGCGGCGCAGCACGTCCCTGGCACGGTCTGCGCTGAGCCGGGAGGGCACGGGGACTGCCGTGGTCCCCGCGGGCTGCCAAAATCCCTGGGGGGCTGCCACCATCCCTGGGGACCCGGGCATCCCTGCATCCCTGTCCGCAGCACGCCGGGATGCGACCCGACAGGACGATGGCTCCTGACACTGCGTGGTGACCTTTACACCCCCGGAGAGGTCTGGCAGGGACCGGCCCTGCTTTGGCAGGCAGATGGGTCGAAGCCCACCTCCCCGCGCCCCATCACCCCAACTTCTGCTCGGCTGCCCCCGGGGCTGTGCCGGGGAAGGGGCGGGGGGCTGGCTGCCCACGCCGGTGGCCGTGCGGCCGGGGCGGCAGGCCGGCCACAGCCCTCATTCCTCCGCTGCTGGGTACCGCTTTGTTGCTAGCTGGTGACATCACCCGAGAGCCCACCCCCTGCCTCTTATCCGTCTCTGTGTCTCGCTCATTTATTCACAGGCAGCGCTGGCAGGATCAGGGGCTGTGCGAGCGCCAGGGCAGGCGGCAGCGGCAGCAGCAGCAGCATGTGTGCGGTGTCTGGGGTCCAGGGCACGAGAACCACGTAAGGTGCCCACCGGAGCCTCCCTCCTCACCCGCCTCCGCGGCCCCCGGCAGAAACTTCACGACTCCCCCACGCGCGGTCCGGGCTTCTCCGGAGGGGCTTGGCAGCGACAGCCGCATGCATGACACTCCGAAAAGGAGAGAAAATGACCATAAGTATCCAGGAGCACATGGCTATTGACGTCTGCCCCGGCCCCATCAAACCCATCAAGCAGATCTCCGACTACTTCCCCCGCTTCCCCCGCGGGCTCCCCGCCGCCGTCGGCCGCAGCGGTGCCCTGCGCCCCGCCGTCAGCCAGCCCTCCGTGAGCCCCGCCGAGGGACCCCGGGAGGATGATGAGGACGTGGACCAGCTTTTTGGAGCGTACGGCACGACGCCCGCCGAGCAGCCGGCCAAGAGCCAAGCGCCCGAGGAGGTGGTGGACCCCGAGGGCTACGAGTCCGACGACTGCAGTAAGTTCCTAAGTTTCCATGGGAGTTTGCTGGGTGCTGAGGGCAAGGGTGGGTCTTAGGGCTGGTTCCCCATCTTTGGTGCCTGAGCCGCGTGCCCTTCCTGGCTACCAGCCATGCTGCCCATCCCTGGGATCACACTGCAGCAGCGAAGAGCCCCAATATTTAGCTGGGGAGGCTGTCAGGGCACCGCTCCGGGGTGGAAGGGGGCCCTGGGAGTGTCCCTGCTGCAGCCAGGCTGGCCGCTGAACCCAAACTAGGGAAGTCTCCCAAGAGCCACCAGTTGCTGTGCTTTGCTGTTGTGGTTGGTGCACTTCTCTGCCTCGTCCCTGCTCGACTCCGTGCCTCTGAAGGCTGCCAGCAGGGCTCAGACCCTTCGGTTAATCCGCCTCGGTGGTGCAGGCTGCTCCAGCCCACCCTGCTGATGAGCTGGCGATACGCTCCAGCATCGCCCGGCTCCACATCGGGGAGATTTCTTTGGAATGACATCCGCCCTGGAGATCTCTGCCCTCTCCCTCGGCGAACTCTGGCATGTCATTCCTCCATTCCTCACCCTCCAGCTGCAGGCAGAGCCCTGCAGGAGACCAGTGGGGGCTTTGGAACAGAAGGCTTTGGTTCTGGTAGATGCAGGTGTTTGCAGCAAGGGTTAACCCCTGCCCACCCAAAACGTCCTTCCCACCCGGCGCCGTGGAGCTTGCAGGCTGCAAGGCAGCCTCTGCCTGGCTCTGCCAGCCACGGGGACTGACTGGGATAATACGATTTCCCTTGGAGTCGGATAAAACCCAAGGGCTCGATTCAGCCCAGCCTTCACGGGCCGGATCCTGCGAGGGGCTGAGCACAAAGTTTGAAGCCGGGAGGTGCCGAGGAAGGGAGTGGGTGCTGCTGAGCAATGCTGCGTGCTCGTCCTGGGGGAAGGGGAGGCTGAGCTGTTTACGGCCCAGCGCCGGGCAGGCGGTGGCTTTTTCCTGTGCAGAATGTCACAGCCCTGCCTCGGCCTCGCTGCCGGGCGCCGGCCTGGCCTGGGCTGCTGCCATCTATGCCAGACCCAGTAGTGTGACCCCAAGGAGGGCTGCAAGGAGGGCTGTGCTGCTGCAGGGCGGCACAGACACCCCCGTGGCCCCCTCTGCCTGCTGACCACCAGCTACAGCCCCAGGAGAGGCTGGGTATTGTGTGCCAGCCCCAAAGTGATGCTCCCTCTCCCCCCATGCCGGTATCGGGGTCATGCTCTCTGTGGAGAGGCAAGAGCTGCGGCTCTCCCGGGGAGAACATCTCTGCTAAGCCGCGTTTGCCCGAGCCGGGCAGTTAACGGTGACTTTAACCGGATTTGGGTTATTTGCTGCTCTAATTATTAGATCGTCTTTGCTCGCTGTGGCAGTAGAAATAGGAGCGACTGGGCTGCAGGGCCAGGGGTGTGCGTGGGAGCCGAAGCACTCGGGGCCCCAGGGTGTGGTGTTTTCTCCAGGTGACTGGCATGGAAATAGCCCAGGGTGCTGCATTCTGCATTTTTCCGCCGGCAGTGCTGGCTGGAGGAGGCTCAGCTCCCTGCCGGGAGTGGGAGGGCGTTTCTCTCACCCCGGCTGGTGTTAGGAAGAGTGTTTCTTGCAGCGTAACAGGTGTCAGGCAAACTGCTGAGGCTCTTTTGCCAGATGTGGTGGGTTTTCAGCTGGTGAAAGCAGAGCGGTGCCAGGAGCAGAGTGGGGAGGGGGGACTGCTGGTGTTAACATCTCTGGGGACATCATGGAATGGTCCCAGCCAACTTCAGGACACTGGTTGGCGTAAATGTGCAGGATGAGACTGTCACTCCCTCAGCAAGCCAAGTTGTAAAGCCAGATGAGAGCTCCTTGTCCCCATTTCCCAGCCAGGGAGCTGGGAGGGAATTCGTGCAGCCTGACTCGAGCCATCAGCTACGCTGGGGTGTGTTGTTCAGCTCCCCCACGTCCCTGGAGGGTGATTCAGGGCTGCTGCATTAGTCACCTGCACTAAATTTCCCCTGGAGAACCTGTGTCTGCCTGTACATCAGGACAGCGCTGGGGTTTAGGTGGTGCCAGACCCCTCTGGTGTCACACAGGGTTCAGGGAGGTGACTGAGGTCTCTGGGGATGCTGGTGTCAGATCCTGAGCGCAGCACACACAAATCAAGGTGTTGCCGGGCAGTGGCACATCTTGCCTCACTCCCCAGAGATTTTCCCAGCCCAGCCCCGGAGAGGTTCAGGGAGAGGGATTTTGCCAAGGCAGGGTCCATCCAGAGGAGGAGGAGAGCTCCTTCCCGTTTGTTCCACCTGCCTGCGGGTTTCCCTCCTCCAGCGCCAAGTGATGCTGCTGGCTGGCTGGCTGGGAGGAGGAGAGCTGCCCCTGCTTGGAGAAATGAGAAATGCAGCATTTGTCTGGGTTTCCCCAAGCTCGATCCTGCCTGGAGTTGCTGCTCCAGGCTGGTTTCTGGGTTTCCAGCAGCCTGTTTAGGTGTCGTGGACACGTTGCTCCGTCACCGCAGCCGTGCAGGGTGCCATCGGCAGGGGCTGGACCGGAGCTGCCATCCCTGCAAAACCTTCGGCACCCCAACAGGGCTGTGGGGAGAGAGCAGGGTGGGTCTTGCCTGGCCCTGCTGCGGCTCACCTGGGCTGGCTCCCTGCATCCCATTCCTTAATCCTTTGCCGAGTTGTGCTCCAGACCCTGTCAGCAATTCTTGGAGTGCCTGCGGAGCCAGTGGGAGCTGCCTTCTGGATGGCTTCTCCCTGGGGTGGGGCAGCCCCAGGGAGAAGCATCAGTGGCAGCTCCCATCCAAGCACAGTGGCCTGACCCAGTGGTTTGGTATCTGCAGGGAGCAGGGACATGTCGGGGGGCGGATGTGTGTGTGTGCATGGTGTTGGTGCTTTGGAAAATTAGGAATCTCCGGGCTGCAAGAGGCAGGTAGGATCACTCCAGAGATGGGCAGGGACCCGGCTGAGGCAGGAGGACAGATGGTACTAGTCGTGGGAGGCTGATGCAGAGGCTCAGGCTGATGGCTCTGGGACACCTCTCAACCAGCCTGTTGAATGCAGCAAGTGGCAGGGAGCAGGCAGGGACAGGGAACAAACACAGCAGATAATGAGTGGAGACATCTGGGCTGGCTCTGGGATTACTGGGAGTTGCATGGAGCCAGCTCTTCTCATCAGACCTGCCAACAGTGCTGCTTGAGGATTTGCAGGGTTGTGGTGGGCACCTGCTGCCATCCCAGGACCCCTGGGAGAAGGACTCATCACTGCCCTGCGCCTTGTCCATCCTCCATCTGCGGGGATGCTTTGGGACCAGAGCTCAGGCTGTACAGGACTCTCTTCCTGCACTGAGTTTGTCCCCAGTGGAGCTGCTGAGGAGGTGGAATGAGGCAGGAGAGGTGGGAAATGTGTATTTGGTGAGAAAGGTTATTTGGTGCTGTTGGACCAGAATTAGCATCTGCTATGAGCCGAGAGGACCAGCCAGGATTTGGGGCTGGGAAGGGGGGGGGATTCCCTCCTGCTGCCTCAGGACACTTGGCTGTCACCTCATCTTTGGTTCCCCAGCCTGGTGCCTGGTGACAGCAGCAGCATCCTGGCTCCTGAGGTCCCCAGCCACCAGGGATGCTTCCCACCCATTCAGGCGGCACACTGCCAGGGAAACTTGGTTTGCAAGGAAAATAAGCAAATGCCAGCTAGATGGCAATGTGCCACCTGTGAGGAGCTGGCTCTCGCCTCCCATCTCCCCCGATTTCACCCAAATTGCCACCCCTCAACTGCCAGCGCTTTCCCCTCCACAGCACCAGCGGGAATTTGTACCTGATGGGTTTTTAAAGGTCTCTCAAATCCCTGCAGGAGCAGCACAGAGGTGGAGACACAGTCCCTGTGAGGGAGCACTGCTGGGGCTTCTGTCACAGGGAACAGCACTGGAGGGAGCAGCCATCCTCCTGCAACGGGCAAGCAAGTTTATAGCCCTTGGAGAAATGCCCTGTTCCCCCAAGATGCTGTTTGGCTTGGGAAAGAGGCTGTGGTCACGCTGGAATCTCCTCCCTCCTCCTCCATATGCGTTTGGCTGTGGGTTTTCCGATGGGGAACACAGCCTGAGGGCAGGGAGCTGCAGTGGGAGCTGGAAGAGCTGCCCCACACCATTCCAGCCAGCGCTCCAGGGCTGCTCACATATGCACCAACCCAGCCAATTCCGTAGCGTGCCCAGCTGTTATTCCCGGAGGAGCAGGCTGGTGAGGAGGCTCCGGAGCTGCAGCAGCACGGAAACGACTTCTCCAAAGTGCAGCTGAGAGGCCAGTCCTGGTGGCGGCGGCTCGTGACGCCTGCTGAGAGCAGCGCCACACAAGTTATTTAGGAAGGCTCTTATTTTGAGCAAAGAAGATAATTAGGCAGGCAAAGCCGTCACGGAGATATTAATTACTGGCTGCTCAAAGACGTAAAGAGGAACGTCTTAAGGGGTGCAGGGTTTGCAAGTCACCTGGTGGTGCTTTTGGCCAGACAGGGGGAGGGAGAGGGAGACGGCGAGGGGAGATGTGCACTGGAACGGGGAGGATATTTACTTGTGAAATGCAGCTCCTTAGCATATGCTGCCACTGCTATTTATAAGCTTTGAATCGCCTTTTCAATCCAGATAAGGCCAAAAGAAGTATTTTTTTTACTCAGGAAACCAAACAAACTACCGCTGATTTCGGCAGAGCCTCGAGCGTGGCTTTGCCCACCAGACCACAACCCGAGCTGCCTGTGCCAAAGGGATGTGTGTGGGGTTTGGGCAGTGTGGAACCGAGCTCTGAGGGCATTGGGGAGCTTGTAGCCTTCCCGAGGGAGACGTGAGGTGTTGACTGGGGTGACTCTGGATTAGCTCCTGTCTGGTTTCCTGTGGGATAGGTGGGTACAGGGAAGGTGCTGGTGTAAGGCAAGTTCTCACGCTTTCCCGCTGGCCAACCCTTCAGCGGTCCAGGTGGAGGCTGCACATCGCGTATTCCTGATCCCCCAAGGAGCCTTCAGCCCCTGGAGATGCCTGTTCCCAAGG